ATTTTAACTATGAATTTTGATACCAAATCATCTCCAATCTTCCTCAAATTTGTTATATTGACTCATATATATATTTCAATGAATTTCAACCATACCCATTGAAAAAGGTCTATTTTTGCTTAGATTTTTGATATATATATATATATATATATATATAGTATTATATTTTTATTTTACTAAACCTTTAAATATTGAATGTCCAAAAAACGCTGTGAAAGATTCAGCTGTCACCTTCAGATGCCGGTTTCTACAAAGCATTCAAGCTTTTTTAGGCTCATTTTATTCTGTACCAAATCCATGCCGTATGATTCTTTCATATATATTTGATGTATACTTTTATATCTAATCCTAGGAAACAATTTGCATAACATAGCTAGTACGTTTATGAAAACACTCTTTTAAATTAAATGCCGTTATTAAAAATAGAACATAACCACGTACATTTAAGGAGGAAATAAAGGAAGAATTCTTGAATTAATAGCAAAATAGTAACCAGTAGACAGAGAAGCTCGGAGAATCCTATATAAGGCTGCTATTACAACATTAAATAATCAAAATGATTGCAGCCCGGCCTAGTGTGAAATCAGGGTGATTTTCTTGTTTCTTTGCTTTGGTTATATACTATGTAGAATTAGATTCTGTTCATTTGTTGCCATGCTCTTGTTCTGATTCATTAACATAAACTAGATTTTTATAATATTGAATTTAGATGAGCTGAACTATTATGACATTAATAATGATGATTCATATAATGTTATAACATAAGCGAAGTAATAATTGTTGATATTGTATTACTAGTGCTGCTAGGAAGTTTAGAGACGCAAAGCAGTGGACCAACCAGGAAACAACAGTTGTTTCTAATGATAGGGAAATAAACAAGAAAAATAGGAATGATTAGAGAATCAAAACTAGATTTTTATGTTGTATATGCATTTTCTTAACAGGTATCTGAAATGATGAATAAAATTAGGTGGGAACATAGTTTATTTATCATTTGAGGTTCCCACTTTCATTATAATTAATCAAAAGGAATTGCAGTTGATGTAACAGACAACTTGTAAGACATTCATTTTTTTAATCTAGATTAGTAAAAGAAATGGCATTATTAAGTTTACAGACACATAAATTATATTCTCCTTTAATCAAAAAGTTGACAGAAATAACTTAAATAAGAACTACTAAAATCTCTTTTTTTCGTTACTGAAATTCTGTATTTTTATCTTTTCGTCTTGTATAGTTGCAAAATGGACTAGAAAAGAATAGAGATGATGAGGTTCCTAATATAACCTAAATGGGACACAAGCCAGTTAAGAGTAATATTTCACCTATAGTTTTACTAAGGTGGGATTTGTTTTCTTATACTAATGTTATGAGGTATTATCACTTTTAGCCCGCGCCAGAAAATATTTATATCCGGTAGCCGAAAAAGTGTAAAAATTTATATAATTTTTGTATATAACATGCAGAATGTATATATATACAACAAATATACAAATTTTATACATGTTTTCGGCTATTATTTTTACAGTGGCTATGCAGTGTCATTTTTCCAATATTTTTCTAGCCTTGATTTTATCTTGTGTATGAAGGCTTTTATATATATGTATACAAAAAAGAATGTATTCAGGAGCTGTCCATCTGAAATTAAATAGGCTGCATTTTCAGTTTACTGAATATTCAAACTCATTTTTTTGATGCCGCGTATTCTCCAGCACAGCTCATGACCTTAAGGGATTCCTTGAGACAAGAGATTCTCAATTAAAATACAACTTGAATCTTGAAATTTTTAACAGAATCCACCTTTGGTTCTTGACTTTGATATTGCAAAGCTTCTTATAATCATCTTGAAATGAGTATTCAGAGATTCTTTACTCAGGATAGAGCACATCAGACCAATGAGTTTTCAAGTGATTATACTTTAGAATTTCCTAAAATCTCAGCTCAAGATTTAGTTGCTCAACAACAATATTCATCACACATGGGATTCTGTTTTCAGCCCGAGAAAGGCCGCCAACAGCAGCATCAGCAGACTTGTAATTTGCCTATTGCTACTGCATCTTCAAATACAATAATCAGCTTTTTTGGATCCCCCACTTCAGCGTTTTTCGCGACAGAACGTTGCCTGGGATTGACACAGTATGATAATCAAGATAATACTTCCCAACACATGATCAATAATAATGATCTTAACCAAGATCATACTTCCCAACTCATGATAGATAATTATGATCTTAACCAAGATAATACTTCTCAACTGATCAATAATTATGATATTCAATTGTCATCATATGATCCTCAACAAAGTAGAAATGGCTTCTTGACAGATTCAATTGCACAACCTGAGCCTGATTTTCAGCACAACATTTCTCTGTCATCATTCATCAGGCCAGAATTCTCAACCAGTCAACCTCTACGTAGACAATATTCTTTTGCCGATGTATCTGAGAAAGAGAGGATGCTGCATCTCAAAAATGAGTTGTTGGGAGAATTTGATCCTTCATATAGGAGGCACCCTTCAATTCCTTTTGATGGAAATCAAAACTACAGTGTAAGTACTTAAAAAGTCTTAATCTTTATCTCAAACAATATCATTCTGAGTCTTCTTATATATATGTCCCACAGATCTCTCATGATTTCTGTGGCTGTCCTTTGGAAAATATGAGGCAACAATGCGCCAGTCCTTCACTCACTTCTCATAACTCTGCATCTTCTGGAGTATCCAATAAGCACAGTAAGACAAGAATCAGATGGAGTGAAGATCTCCACGAGCGATTTCTTGAGTGTGTAAATCGCCTTGGAGGTGCTGACAGTAAGTAATTCAAACTTCTCTTTTTGTCTCTTTGATTTCTTTCTCTAGAGGTTGATAATCTTTGATCTTATTCATCTGTCAGAAGCTACACCGAAGCAAATACTTAATCTGATGGACTTAGAAGGCTTAACCCTTGATCATGTTAAAAGCCATTTGCAGGTACTTCTTACTTCATAGGAAAGAACTTTGTTTCATAAGTCCTTTTTTGTGTTACTGGATGAATATTGAAGCAATGATTTCTCCTTGTCTGAAATTTTTTCCTTTGTAGAAATACCGAAATGCAAAGCACATTCCAGAATCTACAGAAAGTATGTTATTTACCAGTATTACTTTCATGTTCTTGAGAAAAAGAATATAATTCTTAGTTCTGAAGATCTTAGTTTTATTCATTTTCATGTAGCAGGGAAATCAGAAAAGAGAAACAGTCCGGATAATGTTACAGAGATAGACAACAAAACGTACATCTATTTGCTATTCTCTTATTTAATTTGGTGATCATTTTAGCTAGAAAAGAAATCTGATCTCAAACTTGTTTGCAGTGGAATAGAAATCAAGGAAGCACTGAAAATGCAACTAGAAGTCCAGAGGTGTCTTCATGAGCAACTAGAGGTATCTTGTTGTGTATTTATCTACTTTTAACTTACATACTGAGAACATCATTAGTAAATACTACTGAAAACATATGATAGTACTTTTCTAGAATAAAAGAATTTGTGTAAACCAATCTTTCTGAATCATATTCTCTTTATGTTGCTAGACTCAGCGAACGTTACAAATGAGGATCGAAGAACAAGCAAAAAAATTGAAGATGATATTTGATCAACAACAAAAAACAAACAGGGTTCTGTTGGAGAGACAAAATTCAAACATTTCTTCTCTTGCTGATCCATCCACTGCGCATGATGATGTAGAAATTTTGGTCGTAGAAGAGTTGGAATAATACACATTTCCCATCCAACACAAGTTAACTGTTATGCTAACTACATAATATTTGGATTTTTTCCATAGAAGTAATCTGCATCAGCAATCTTTAAAGATTTGAAAAGAAGGAGCTTACTCCTGCAGCAAAATCAAGAACTGATCCTTCAGAACTTGGTTCAACAGGAAAAGCTACTTGTTGAGCTAATTAGCCTCAAGTAACTTGTAACATATGTAAAATACAGTATAAAGTCATAGATTGTGCTGAAAATTAGGTAGTTCATTCATGGTAGATGTCAAGGATTCTGTTGGCTGCATAGTTAAAAATGTAATGAAATGAAAGGAATAAAATAAGTTGTCACTTTAATTTTGGTAAGCTGGTGTAAAGTTCCCAACTATTCAATTTTTGCCATTGGCTATTTGGTTTACTGTAGTTTGCCCTTTCATCTTTAGATATGGTATTTGAAAGCTTGCTGTCTCTTAGCTTCACAGTTTGTATGATGACTTCAACTTCCTATTTCTCTGTCACTCATAAGCAGTAGCAAAAACAATTTTTTGGTTAAGAGTGCATTTTCAAAACACACACACACACATTTTGAAAGTAATAGTAATAAAAAAGAGAGACATCAGACTTACAATGGTTTTTTCCAGAATGCCTTTATTAGAATTAAATCCGTAAAATAATTTGGACTATATTTTAAATTCATTATATATTAGTCAAAACAAATATTATGGGCTAATATAATGTGATTAATTATATAAGTCCGATCCAATATATATGGATTAAATAAATAATTCCAAAGTGTTGGGCTAGCTTATTTAGTTGGGCTACGAATAATGAGCCCACTTCATTAAGCCCAAAATGTCATTTTCCTAGAGGCCCAGTTTGGTGCCACGTGTCAAAAGACGTGGCACACCAAGTCAAACGGAAGAGCTAATAGGATCATGCCACGTGTCAAAATGACAAGGCATGCCAAGTCACATTAAAAGGTCAATGAAATCGCGCCACATGTGCAAGTGACATATTTTGGCCAATCAAATGCGACCTTGTCACTCTTCAATCTGATTGGTCGGAAAGAGTTTGTTCTTATCATAACTCTTCCCTCCCACAATTATAAATAGAAGTCTTCATAACCCAAAAAAGACACCAGAAGTTATCACAAGAAGCAAGAAAGAGCTCGTGGATCAAACGCTGCAAATTCCTCCACAAGTTTCAAGCTTCAAGCAATCAAGCTCAAGTTCAACAATCAAGTTCAAGCTCAAGGACGAAGAACAAATCAAGTTCAAGATCAAGAACGAAGAACAAACCAAGTTCAAGATCAAATCAAGCTCAAGCTCAAGAACGAAGAACAAACCAAGTTTAAGCTCAAGCTCAAAAACAAAGAACAAATCAAGATTCAAGGAGTACGAGTTCAAATCAAAGTTCGTGCTAGTTGAATCCAAGATCATCGTCCGTGGAAACAAAATAGGTTGAAGATCAAGCTCAAAGGCCCTTGAATTTATATTGTAAAAGTAGAATTAGAGGAACTATGGAGATTGTAACACTCAAATATTTGAAATAAAATACTACGATTGTTGCAATATTTTTCGGTCTTGATTTTATTTTCTTAACGCCAATTTATTGTCTACAAATTCTGGCACGCCCAGTGGGATAGTCTCTACCTCTCATCTCAACTTTTTAATCACCAAAGTTTAAGAACATCAAAATGGTTTTAAAGAAAATCAACTCCGGATCAACTTCCACCAAGGCTGCTAACTCCAGGTTCTATGCTGATATGGAAAGCATCCTCGATATTACCTTTGGAAGCTTCAGACCAGTTACGAGGAGCAAAGCAAGCTCTTTAGGACAACAAGCACTCCAAGTGTCATCCGCATCAACCCCTGTTTTCGGATCTTTATCCTCAAGAGGAGCAAGATCTTCCATAAACGCACCCGAAGGAGGAAGCGATGTTGTTGAAAAGATCAAGAAAACTCTTGCTCTGCTTGACCTCTCCGAATCCAAGAACTTTGCTGTGAAGGAAGATGATGATGCTTCAAGTGATGGATCCTCTCCACTTACACTGCATAGCGTGACCTATTCGAGAATCAATCTGTGTGAAAATCCATACTACTCCCCATTATTTACAACAATCATGCAAGCTATGGTGACAAGCACTTCATCTGTGGAAGAGCAGTTGGCAAATTTGACAGAAGCAATCGCTGGCTTGACCAAGTGCATGCAAAATCAAGATGCTAGAATTGACAAGCTAACAGACATGGTGGGAATCTTGATGGAAGAAGAATCCACCCATGCACCTAGCAAGCTCCCAGAAGTTCCAGAGATTGATTCTGCCCCAAGACAAGTAGCATCCGCTAAGGTTATCCCTGTCTTATCTAAAGGGATGATTTCAATCGATCAACTGAAGGAGTTCATTGAAGGAACCATTAAGAACAAGTATAAATTATCTACTAAGTCCTCCCTTACATATGCAAAGCCATACACTGCAAGGGTCGATATGTTGAAGATGCCTGCCGGCTATCAACCTCCAAAGTTTCAACAGTTTGATGGTAAAGGTAATCCAAAGCAACATGTGGCATACTTCGTTGAGACATGCAACAATGCTGGGACTTATGGAGATTACATCGTCAAGCAGTTTGTCCGATCGCTAAAAGAAAATGCTTTTGACTAGTACACAGACCTCGAGGTTGGATCTATCGATAGCTAGGATCAACTAGAGCAATAGTTCCTCAATCACTTTTATAGCACGAGACGTACTGTGAGTATGATAAAACTTACAAATACTCATCAACGGTAACAACCTGGCCGGTCGTTTTGAGTGTATTGGCCCGATTCCCTATTTACTATTTTTTCCGTATCTGTTTTTGCTTATGTGACTTGCTGGGAGGTCTTGTTTTTGATTTCGGAGTGTTTTGGGACACTTAGTCCCTAAAACGGAAGCTTAAGTCTTAGGATTTTGACCGTAGTTGGAAGTCTGTAAAGATGACTCCGGAATGAAGTTTTGTCGGTTCTGTTAGCTTCGTTGGGTGATTTTGGACTTAGGAGCATGTCCGGACTGTGAATTTGAGGTCTGTAGCTAATTTAGGCTTGAAATGGCGAAAGTCAAATTTTGAAAAGTTTAATCGGGGGGTTGACTTTTTGATATCGGGGTCGGATTCCGATTCCAAAAGTTGGAATAGGTCTGTAATGTTGAATATGACTTGTGTGCAAAATTTGAGGTCAAAAAATCCGAAGCACATTCGCTTATGAGTCTAACCATACCAAATTTACTCAAATCCAATAATAAAATCCCATTCAAAACCTCAAAATCCCAACTCAAGAGTTCTTCCTCTTTTTTCCCAATTTCTCACCCCAAATCACAAATTAGATGATAAAATAAAGATGAAATCATGGGATTAACCAAAACTAAGTAAGAATCACTTACCCCAATCAACTCCACGAAAATCCCTTCAAGAATCGCCCAATTTCGTGTTTTCTAGCTCACAATGTGTAAAATGGGTTCAAACCCTCATTTTTGAAATTAATACTGCCTGCCCAGATATCCTTCATCGCGATCGTGAAACATTCCTCGCGATCGCGAAGCACAACTATGTTGCCCCACATTTATACCCTACGCGAATGCGGAATAACCCACGCGATCGCGGATCACTGCCTCTCATACCTACGCGATCGCATCCTGCCTCACGCAATCGCATAGAGCATTGGCCACACCTACCCCCTGCTCAAATCCTTCTACACAAACGCGACCTTAGCCACGCGTTCGCGAAGCACATCTTCGCACACATACGTGATCGCGTTCCTAACTCTACGATCGCATAGAAATTGGGATTAAGCTTCTGTTTTAGGGACTAAGTGTCCCAAAACACTTCGAAATCAAAAACAAGACCTCCCGGCAAGTCACATAAGCAGAAACAGATATGCGAAAAACAGTAAAGATGTACTTCGCGAATGCGTGGCTAAGGTCGCATTCGCGTAGAAGGATTTGAGTAGGAGGGGAGGTGTGGCCAATGCTCTATGCGATCGCGTGAGGCAGGATGCGATCGCGTAGGTATGAAAGGCAGTGATCCTTGATCTCGTGTGTGATTCCGCATTCACATAGGGTAAAAATGTGGGGCAGCATAGTTGTGCTTTGCGATCGCGAGGAATGTTCCGTGATCGCGATGAAGGATATCTGGGCAGGCAGTATTAATTTCAAAAATGAGGGTTTGAACTCATTTTACACATTGTGAGCTAGAAAATATGAAATTGGGCGATTCTTGAAGGGATTGTTGTGGAGTTGATTGGGGTAAGCGATTCTTACTTAGTTTTGGTTAATCCCATGATTTCATCTTTAATTTTATCATATAATTTGTGATTTGGGGTGAGAAATTGGGAAAAAAGAGGAAGAACTCTTGAGTTGGGATTTTGAGGTTTTGAATGGGATTTTGTTATTGGATTTGAGTAAATTTGGTATGGTTAGACTCATGAGCGAATGGGCTTTCGAGTTTTGTGCCTTTTGTCGGATTTCGAGACGTGGGCTTGGGGGCCGGTATCGGGCCAATTTCGGAGTTTTGGCTATAATTTAGTACTTTGCTTGTCTAATTGATCCCTTTAGTCTATATTGATTGTATTGTTATACTTGTGACTAGATTCGGGACGTTTAGAGACTAATTTGTGAGGCAAAGGAATTTCGGATTAGAGATTTGCTCGGTTTGAGGTAAGTAACAGTCTTAAATCTGGTTTTGAGGGTATGAAACCCCGAGAATTGGTATGATGTGAGTGTTTGGAGGTGACGCACATGCTAGGTGACGGGCATGTGAGCGTGCACCGCGAGGGATTGTGACTTGGTCCGTCCCGTGAGACTGTAAAATCGAATAGCCATTGTTATTACTTGTTTTTTCTTGACTTTGAGCAATTGACTGCCTTTCATGTTAGAAACCATGCTTAGGCCATATGATATCACTGTTGGGACCTGCAACGGCCGTATACTTGTCGAATTGACTGCTAATTTTTGTCTTGTACTCAGTCACAGTCTTACTTGTATGTTATATCTTTGTTACCTCTCAGTTCATGTTGATACTTGTTGTATTCTCTGTTTGGGCTGGTTAATATGATATTCTGTGAGCCCGAAGGGCTGGAGAGGTTAGTGACTGAGATAGGGCTTGAGTGTCGAGCTGTGAGCTATGTGAGGTTATATGGATCGGGTTGCACGCCGTAACGAGCCTTATGGCTATTTATAGATTATTGATCGGGTTGCACGCCGCAACGAGCCTTATGGCTACTTATATGATTGGGTCGAGCTGCACGCCGCAATGATATAGCATTTCGACTGAAAGGAGCCCCTCCGGAATCTGCACACCCCTAGTGAACGCAGGTAGGACTGCTTATCGGGCGGATTGGGCGGTTAATTACTCTTAATGGTTTGGCTTAACGGTTATCGGC